GTTAATAAATTCCCTTAATTCCAAAAGTTATAGGGCACCAGGCATGCTGATCGGTCGGCAAAAGTCAACAAAGTTTAGAAACTCTCTGTACTTGCGGATATATACCAAAGTTTTGGAGGTAACAAGTTTCTGAAAAATTCTGGTTCATATCTACCACACCACATGACCACACATCTCGGAACGCCGTGCCTTAATGTCCGTCTCAAATCTAAGAAACTTAACTTCCTCCCGTGGATCGACACAAGATTGTGACTGAGTGATTAGAACTCTTGTTTGTATGGAAGGGAGTCGGGGAATCGGTTATAGGATATTCTGATGAGTTTTCTTGTTTTCGTTTTTATCCCCTGGCACATGGTGAAACAGTGTTATAGCCGCCCGCCTCCCCACAGCTGCCACGACTGTTGCTCGAGATGAGTTCTTTACCTCAGGGATACGGGTACTTCGGATTTGGGGATGGAACACACTTCGGAGTTCATGAATCGGGGGTCTCCAGAACACCCCGTGTATTGCAGTATTCATTTAAAATTTCCTACAGTGATCAATCTTTACATTAGTCCTCCAAGCTAGCCGATCCGTCACTCTTAACCTTTTACACCAATTTGCTCCCAGCTCGCTGACCGTACACCACTCATTAGCTACCATCCTGTAACTCATTTCCCTGTTCCGCGTCTTCCTTTGCAACTGTCCACCTCCGTTCACTGAAAACAACTGCCCTCTCTTTAATAAGTCCCCCAGTGGGCATGAAACGAAACAAGAAAAAGCGAAGGGTCGAGCCCGGCATCTGTCCTACATTCGTATATTTCGAGATGCCCATCACAGACCTTTTTAGGTCTTCAAGGCACACGAGCTGGGAACCAAGACCCCTCCTGGCCGGTCTCGCACAAGGTCAGGCCATGGGTTTATGGCACTAGGAGCAAACTGGCGACGCTAGGGACAATAGTGACACCCTAAGCCTAAGGAGACAATAGATGAATTCCAACTATAAGGTCCCGTGATGGTATCTCGCCGGAGGAGCGTCTCTAATGATCTGAACCATGCCTTAATTGGTCATGCTTTTAATTAAATAATTTTAGCGAGGGACGTACGGTTACAGTGTATTAAAACACATCACGACCATTTCTATGAACGTTCTCTCCAATTTAATATTCCCAGTCGCCCTCCAGTTCAACATCACATGAACTTTGCAATTGAGAGAGCATGGTTAAATAACGAAGCAAGAAACAGTATGACCCACTAAATTGTGAAGCTTTTCGTTACATATTTTCACTGCTCTTCCAGTAGACCTTCTTCTCTCGGATACCTAGCAGTTGATATATGCTTCGGCCGAAATAGATTTAAGCAATAAATTTGGGAACATATCAAATATGGAAAGACTTTAAAGAGACTGCCTTCCAAAATTGGCATTCCTTTACCGACTGAAGGAACGACGAGACGTAAACGACCAAAATGACGACGGAGAGACGAAGACCATCTTGGGATTCATAGGAAATATCTTGTTTTTACATAGGTCATGATAATGACGAAATAAAATTTTGCTTTGTGTGAAGGGCTTGCAAAGCACAGAGATAACTGCCACAGCCCTTCACTCTGTACTTGACTAGCAGTTTGAGCAGTTTATATTCAGCTGTTCTGTACCGAACGGTTTCGGCCGAACAGGTTCTGATGGGGGCCCTGTTCCTGTCTCTCAACCTCATGCGCGACTGTCGGCTGCACCTCCACGAGTACCACACGTCTGCACTCGTCATCAACTACGTCACCATGGGTTTCTCTGTGGTAGTGTCCACACTCAACCTACTGATCAGCGCCTTCGATCCCGGCCTGGGGCGCTTGGTGGAGCATGGGACTTTATTTGATTCCACATAAACAATTCGCTGATCGAGTTCGACTGTCGATATTAGCTCACATGTATTTGAAATCACTTGATAGAAGCTTCCCTTATTTCACTGGTTCCAAAACTGTACCCTGTCGAAGCCTGGAGCTCCATGTCAATTCCCAGTTGTTCGCGGTATGAATTACTATGCTTACCTTCAGAGCAACATTCGATAGAAATGTAAATCCCATTGATTATCCGCGAGTGATGAGGAACTATAAATGAATGACCTTGCACCAATGCGCTTGCATACGGCGGCTATCACGAAACACGATTCTACCACATACGTGCGCATAGCCGTGACGATCACGATCTGGACATCTCTCAGCTTGTAACTTGAAAGAGAGACGTCATATTATATTCGTGAAATCTGTGACGTGGCTCCTCCATCGGCGTTCCCGCGAACTCGTTGCGGCTGGCGCGAACAGGGCAGATACTTTTGTGTAGAGGGAGGAACGTACTTGAAACAGAATCGTGTATATCGGTATTTCTAATAACTGAACCGTTAACTCTTTGAAACACAGTCGTCACTCTGTATATCACGCGTCTTGACAGTAAGAAGATCCATATTTTGTTTGCGGGGTAAGATTCTTGGAATAAACAGCTATTACTTTCCTAGCAGCTTTAGCCAGTTGGTCTTTACAATGGAAAGACAACATTTCTTTGAGTAAAAACTGAAACTTAAGATGTTTAGAAGAACCTTTCGCTCCAAATTAGCACAAACAGTTGGTCTATGTGTAGTCTGCGGGATAAGAGTACCTTCGAAACTGCACAAGTGAAAACAACCCAAAGCTAATTATATGGTTTTCAGTTTTGAAGGTATTTTCTTGAGGGTTCCTGAAGGAACAGGGTTGAAAGATCAGCACTGTCTGAAAACCGCCGTGCTGCTTTTATGTTCATTCATATCTGCTTTTTATTATTACTATTTCTCATTGCGTTTCCGAAAGTGTCTTTCTGTTTGAAACCCCTCCGCTTCTTCAGAAGTTGGAAAGTGCATCTATAGAGGCGGCACAGGGTGTTTGCGACTGGCGACTCTTCTAGGGTCTTCACAGTGACTGTGTTGTTCCATGCAGGTTTCTGTTGGAGTGATACTGCTGGTTGTTGGTGGACTGGACATAAACAGGCACGGCGACCAACGTCCGGCCATCATCTTGAATGACGTCACCCTCATCATGATTTTCATCATCTCACTTATAAATGTGGTTGTTTCCGGGTTTGGAATGGAACATTCCGGCACGAGGCTGAGAGAAGTCTCTCCTCCACCGAAGTGATCCAGTGGCTCGACCACCAGCTTCATTTCCGCTCCAATGTGACATAGCAAAGGCACGATGTTAATAGCAGTAGCACACAGTTTCGATTGGATATTTCAGGTTTTTAAGGCGGTGGAGACTCGTGGTGTTCGAGTTATAACACCGTGCAGTCTGGTAGGTTGTAACCACCTAGATGACTCCAATTTGAATTTTCATCTGTTGGTATACGCTATTTACAGGAAAAAATATAAGGTGAAGAGTTCTGTCATTTGGGATATAACACCGTGTAGTCCATTGAAAGCCAACCGACGTTTCGGAGGAACATGTCGCCTACATATTCAGGACCGAAGAATAAGCTGAGCAAGAAATCAGCATGAAATTTGGTAGACTTTAAACGTACTGCAGGAGGTTATGCCCCAGAAGGCAGAACTCCTTATAACCACCACTTCAAGAATTCAAATACTGTGTTTTCGGATGTGACAGCATGTACTTTGGTATAGGTACTAATATTTCGGAAGATCATTCTGCTTCTCTCTTCAAGGACGAATCAGGTTACTCCGAAACGTTGGTACTTATCTAGAAAATTATACGTACAACACGACACTCTATACCACATGACCCTCCGGCGTGAAAACGTAGAATTTTAGGGGTGATCCCAGGTTAGGCTACTTGGGATTTGTGGTGGACAAAGTGGCATTGGGGCAGGCTTATCTCCGAGTGTTCGGTCATTCCCTGCCAATTATTATTCCAGCAGTGCTCTATAGTCTTCTAGCATCAGCAGATCGTACGGTAGGTCCATTTGGGGCCGGAATACAAAGGGGCCCGGTGTCACTCTGCTCGGACAAATAAATTTAAATCCGTTACAGTAGAGTCGACATTGTCTGTGGAATGGAAAGAGTAACACACAAAAGTAGACCTTATCGGCGTCTCGGATTCAATGAAAACAGAATGTCCTAATCACAGAGTCTTTGCAAATGCTCTGATTGGTGTTTATTCCTAACCTTTCCTTGGTTACGGACGTGCGATCGCGTGATCCTGAAATGCATTAAAGGGGCGACCGTAAAGGCTTGTGCACATTACTCGTGCTCGTGTGACTGGCTATGCTTGCAAGTAATGTGGACGATATAACAAGTCACGAGACAAGGAAATTTTAAATTTTTAATTTGAAAACTATAGCCAATAAATTAAAATACGACTACAGCCTATACACACTACGAGTAAATATACCAATCCTCACGCGCCGAAGCCTGGCGAGCAACTGAAGTAGCACAAGGAAAAGCCAGACGAGTCTCCCGACGAGCACGAGCACGAGTAATGTGGACGCGCCTTAGCAGAAAGAAGTAAATAGGAGCTATAGTATTCGAGTCGCTTCGGATGTGATGTCGTGTAATTTGGTAAACACATTTAACGTTTCAAAGGAACATACTGTCTCCATCTGAAGGGGCAAATTTCAGCCTCCAGAAGGATGCGGCACTTCCTCAGAAGATCCTAACCTTCACACTCACGGCCCTGAGAACCTCAAATCTCACAACGGGGGGACCGGTGACCGAGCGGTCCCAACTCCCAGCATTTGTCCCTTTAGTTAGAATGTATTTCAAAGAATCGTGATTTTTTTTTTCCAAAAGAGACGTGAAACAACAGTAAAACCTGGAAACATAATCTGAATATTTTATAAAATAGCGGTGCTTCACATGTCGTACTTAAAAACTTGACAATATATAAGATTTTGTATGAAATTAAAAGCTGTCCTATGAGTAGGTTCTCTTTTGCTTGAATCCCCATTGTTTCTTTCATAGTGTGTTTCTGTGTCTAAAATAAACAGTTTGTTTCAAGCAATTCTCGACTTCGTTGCCATAAGGTCTACTCTTGCTTGGGTTCAGGTTGCGTCCAGTTCTTTGGCTCTGGTGCTGACGACACTCAACATCAACTTACCCGAGAAGCAACACGTGGCAGCAATCTTGAACCATACGGCACTTGGATTCGTTCTGGTCTCCATGGTATCGGACGTCATCAAGATGAGCTTCGGGCTCGATCCCGGACCCTTCCACAACAAAACCGCTGACGGAAATCCATAAAACGCCATATCTGTATACAGTGCCGCTGAGTTTTTGGTTCTTTCAGAAGGAAAATTGCGTGGAGAAATGCGTCTCGCTTTTCGCGAGAGACGAGATAGAGGCCGTTGTTTCCCAGAAGTTCGTAACAGCCACTGGGAAACGTCCCGTCAGGATGGTGATTAGTTTCAGAAAACGAGCTACGAAATTTATGTAAACGACGAGAGCTCTTTTTGTTTTGGAATGTACAGAGTTTTTCCACACACACGTTTCGCTTCTGCATGTCTGGTTGAGTGCTTAGTCCGCGTAAGTGTAAATGTTGCAGGCTTGATGTGATATAAATAAAAATAAACTACCACTGATTTAACCGTTGTGGTGCTAAACAACTATTTTTGTTTGCTGTAGCAGCTCTGTCTCGGGTAGATACGTTAAATGAAGATGAAAATGAACTTGAAATGCAGGGACACATTTCCCTACAAATGTTTCTTTACTGCATAATTTATACAAAGTGCCACGAAATGTCAGATGCAGTCAGATCTAACAGTTTTGTGAAGATCGTAATTTCCGACTCTTGGCTGATGCAGAGTTAAAGAAATTTACCATTTAGATAAGACTTTTCGATTTCAAATATTTCGCTTCACATTTAGTGCTCTTGGAATATTATTTTGAAATTGAAGGACGGATGGTGTCAGCAGTTCTTGTGCAATATTTAATTGCAGGAAATATGCATTTCAAACCGGCACAAATGCTGTTGGTTACCTCCCTTTCAAGCCAACACAGGAGACCATTAAGCTCTCTTACCTCAGTTATTTATATCTTTATTAGTTTTCTGCTTTATTCCAAGTTGGTTTCATTGCAAATTTCTTTTTTACTTCTTATTTTACCCATAATGTAATGTTTGCGATTTTTAATTGTAGTTACGAAGACTGATAATTGTTACTCGCAATTTAAATATATCTTTTCGGTGTAATTTTTTATGTTATAATGTAACATGGTTGTGTTGGACTGGATCCATTACACGCCCTGTAACATTCTCTTTAGTTTGTAGACACCATATGATGTCAGACACAATATTGGAATATGTCCCTTTAGCTTTATAGAAAATCGTGCAGCTAATGCTGTAACCTCGCAGAAGTACTTCCAAGTAAATCGCAATGTTTTCATTCCTGTTGCAGGAAAGTATATTTCTTTTTGAAAGTTCCGTCCAAGCCTTTACGTGTTCGGATGGTAGTTGAAATACACGCTACAAAGCTGTGTAAGACAGTTCTTCTAATGAAAAAAGCTCCTTATTATAAAAAGAATGTTACCTATATTTTATTTCATTAAATCAAATTAACATGGGTATCACCCGTGTGGTAGGAACGAGTTTAATAATCCCTTTTTGCATACACTAGTTTTAGATTATCCTGTCGCGTGTTGCCTATGCAGCGCGACAAATAACTTTAATTCAGTTCCTCAGTTTAATAAATTGGTGGGGGCCAGTACATTTTTCTCCAAATATGATGTAGAAATGAAAGTAAAGCTATCCCTCTAACAGGCTGTGGAGGCCCATAGGGTTGTGAGCTGTTGAGTTTCCAACATTTTCTAGCAAATCGGCTCACAGATGGCGGTAAGGTTGTCAGCCTTACGCGCCGGCCGCCCTTTACCTCCAGGAAGATTCCTGGTACTCATTTCTGTTAGAGGCTGAGTCAACCCCAGGGTCATAGTGCGGCTGCAAGGATTAGGTAAATTGAAAAAAAATCCAATGACCTCATCGGGACTTGAACCCGCGACCTTCCAAATATAATGTACTTTCTTAAATTCATTTATTTATTGTTTATTTCACGACGCTGTCATTACCTCAGGCTATTCAGCGTCGAGTGGCACCGTGGTTACGGAGCTATGAATTGGAAAGGACATGGAAGCTGTCTTGCCTTATTTCAAGATACTAGCCCGGAAGTGGCCTGGAGTACTTCTCCGAAGTAATCCTGAACCTCACTCTCCAATTTACTTCAACGAACAGATTTCCAGAAAGCCAAAGTGTCTTCCTTCGAAGTCATTTTCAGTACAACAATCATCTCACCAGCCGCCACTGCGTAGACTATATACTTACAGCGCGTAAAATGAACCGCTCGTGCTCTCCAGTTTATTTCGTGACAGATACAGTTGGGTTCCACAGTAGAGCTGCTAAGTATAAATACAGAAGCAACAGGTTCCTTTTCATTTGTATTCGGCCATTTTCTTGTTCTTGACTTATCGACCTAAGCCACAACATTTAACTTTCAGTATCTGTAACAGCATCTTATGTTTGTAAGTCCGTGAGCCAGAAGTCCAGTTGGAGACTGACACAGTTCATTTCTTTCTGTGGTAGGAGTGATATTCCGGTCTAGAAAACCGAAATTAAGGGCCGTGGGGATTTGTTGCGCTGACCACGCGACACCCTCTATCCGCAAAAGTTGGCACTGAACTTTGTCGACTAGCGGCGGTCGCTCGGTCGGTATAGTTCGCTTGCGGACTAAAATCACGGAGTTTGTTTTTTGTTTGTTTTGGTAGGAGTGATATAAAATGCATTACAGCATTTCTGCATTTGTCAGTATGTAACGTGGAGTCACATGCAAAGATACTGGGTTCCGAGCCGGGCGATCGGAACTTGCAAATTTCTGTCATCGCTACTATGTAAAGATCGTCTGTGGGGGCCCCCATCTGTTCAAATGGTACCGACGGTTCTTCCCACGGGAACAAAGTAGCCGGGAAATGCATGTGATCACTCACCTACACCTGGTGCCGAAAATTAAGCTCTACCTCCACAAGGAGGCCAAGGCTCTTTGTCTTCTTTACTACAGTCATGAAATACAGATGGGAAAAGTGAAGTTTTATTAAACTGTCTGACATTTCCCAAAGTTATGTTTTATTACATTGTTGGACAACTCTCGCAGCCCTTGTCCTATGCTTTATTGCATTGTTGGACATATCCCTTAATCCTTGTCTTACGCTTTGTTGTATTGTTGAACATTTCCTAAAGTCCTTATTCTATGCTTCATTATGTTGTTGGACATCTTCCGCAAGGCCTGGCATATGTTTTGTTACATTGTTGAACATCTCATGTCTCCCCCCNTTGTTTTTATTTTCTGTTCTCTTTCTGTTTTGCTTCCGGTCTCAGGCTTGTCAGGGAGTACTGTACGTGATGCTAGGCTCCTCGTTCAACATCAACAAGTCGAAAGACCAGAGGGCAGCCAACGTCTGGAATAACGTAGTCCTCGCTATGGGCATCGTCACCACCATACTCAACGTTATCATATCGGCATTCGACATGCGGGAGACAGACATGGTGGGATTCAACAGCACGACGACGCCTTCGGCCCCCAGCCAATGAAACTCAGCTATGCAGATGTTTAAAGACCTCTTGATTAAGAATTGTGACGTCATTTCTATCAATCAGTTTTCCTGTTATTAACAACTTATCCGATATTTTTATGTGACAACTTATGTATATAATGTTTTATATAATATATACTGACATACCGGAACAGGAAGGCGATAAATCCGGAATCTGCGAAAGGAAATAAAGTTAAGATGACGATCTTCTGGAAAGTGACGCCGTGTAGTTTGGTAGATAGGTACCACAGTTTTGAAGGAAGCTGCTGCCTCCATATTCAGAGTAGAGGCGTGTTTTCGGCTGTGAAGATGTAAGGCACATATCATGTCTCAGAAGACCAACCTTAGGTACATGGTTATGCAGTTATTAGCTGTACACAGAAATGGGTCAGCAAAAATCGAGATTTATCTCCTCTTTCAATTCTCCAAGTACATTCAATATGTTTATCTGTTTACTCCTCGGTACGTGTAGAACATTCCAAACTTTTCGAAAAGAAATATAGGCTTTCAAATTCCGAATTCTAAGTAGAAGTCTGGCAATTGAATATCCATTATTAATACTGGAGAATTTTTTCCCAAGATTCCACACTTTATATATGGGTACAAGAATTTGAAAAGAGGAAATTTACCATTACAGCCGTATATTGAAGCACTTTGGTCACCTTCATACTGAATTTTTGTGAACAGAAATGACAATACATATTCTTGGGAACGGAGGCCGCTTTCATTAATTAAATATCTGTTTCTCTATATTTTAATATTTATATGTAAATATATGAAAACAGATGCTTCCAGAAAATTAAAAGTATGTAGGATATTAGAATATATCAGTGGCATTGACATGTATCGTTCCCCTTCATTTATTTGTTTGCTTATTTTACTGTAGCCGTTTCGCTGGGTAAATGGCTCTTCGTCAGGTTCTCAAGCCGTTTCACTCTTAGGTAAACTAAATGTTTTCAGCGACTTTGTTGAACTATTTTCTTTATTGTTAGTGGGGCGGGACTAAGTCCCTTGTACCGCGGCCACTTCTGGCGTATTGTACCAGCCCCAGATGATAGGTGAGGTAAATGACAGACCCGACCTCTCGTCAGAGAGGGCGCTACACATAGACAAGACAGTAACTTTCATTCAAGGGGCTCGACACCAAGACAGACAGACTGACCGATCGTCAGTTGTAACATGACCTTGACCTTGACCTTGATAGGTGAGGGTGATTGTGGAGCAATTGGTGGAATGAAGATTGGCAGGGGAAACCGATGTACTCGGAGTATACCTGCCCCAGCGCCACATTGTCCACCACAAACCCCACTTGACCAGACCCAGGATCGAACCCGAGCCGCCGCGGTGGGAAGCCAGCGACTAACCGCTTGAGCTAAGTACCTCCACAACAATCTGTGTTTCGGAAGACTTGGTTAAAGTGTAGGTATCTCCCTGTATCGACAAGCTGATGGAGACATCCGTCCGACTTTTATAAGAGTAAGCGAAAATTAAAACTCTCGATGGCGTCGATAAAGTTCAACTCTACTCTGTTATTGTACACATCATGAATTGGCTTGTCGATAGTCAAGGCTTGTGAAATTGTCTTTCAGCCCCTTCACTAAATACACCTTTTGGATATCACATGTTCTTGAACATTTATTATGAAATGTATGCCGAAAAAAATTACCATTAATTAAATAAAACAATCTAGTAAATTACTTCATAGGCACTTATTACAAACGCTCTGTCTGTAAATTATATGACTCCCAGATATTTTTTCTAACTTCTGACACTGTTTGGTCTCCATAATACGTGTCTGCTACATTCGAACTAGCCTGTCGATCATGTTGCCTGCTGTAATTTCATTCAAAAACCAACAGTTTCGCTGTCTACATGAAGGAGCATAAGGTTTGCAACGTAACACGTATGCTGGGGAACACTGTCAAAATTATCAGAAACAGATTTGCCATTAGACGTAGTGGGCTACCCAGGCATAAAAGAGCCAAATTCTCTGTAAGTGAGATTGCAGAAAGTATGAAAAAGTCATTTCTATGCGCGATATTATCAGGGGAAAACTTCAACACTTCCTGAACTTTCTTTTGTGCACAGACGTGTAACAATCGACGAGTATTCATAACTGAGTGCGTGGGTCTTATGCATATTGAGCCCAGTTATACGGATTCCTCAGAGCATGAAGGCTGGCGCTTTAAACCCGGCCCTTACACACCTGCTTTGGGTTTCAACAGAATCAGTGCTTCGATAATCTTAAAACTAAATGTCTCGTATAAAGAGCACACTTACAAGAAGCCTGTGAAAGTGCTGTATCTCCAAAAATTACTTAGGGGGCCCATACACGTACGAGTCTGGCTCGCGAGTCCGACTCGGCTCGGGTTCCAATGAACCAAACTCGTCCGTGTGTGTGTCGCAACGCTCATACGTGTGTGGTGAAATTAATCTGAGCGCGGCTCCTCGCCGAGCCGGACTCGTACGTGTATGGACCGCCTTATAACTAAGTGATCCGAAGGTCGTGCTTTATCGAGCAAGCTCCATGTCTCGTCAAGGATGGCAGAAAATAATGCATTCCCTTCTCTTCTTTATCCCTTTAGTACTTTTGCTTCCTTTCCTCTTTCATATTGACTCCCGTTCCTTTTATTTGTCCATTCTATCGCATTCCCTCTACCCATACCTTAGCAACGGCATTCTAGGCCTAACTGAACGCTGAAAATTCTGCAAACGTGACAGAAAATCACTGTTATTTCAATAGATATGGCTCAGAGTTAACTGCAAATCAGCCTGAGTTTGTACATTGCTAAATAAAGCATGTATGTGTAGGTCTACGGATAATTTGGTATGAGATTAATGGCTCATGTGAAATTTTAAGTTAGTACTTCAAGCAGGATAATATGCCGTTGTCCTAAGGACATGTGTCATTAGATTTGTACTACAATCTATAGTGATATAGCTATGCAAACAATGACAAGTCACGTTGAGAAAAAGTATTTATTTTATCTATCATGCTTGTGGATACAAACAATGTACTCAATAAAAGTTATTACAATGTACCATTTGTTGTAATCCAGTATTTCCTTACCCATCCCAAGGTAAAGAGTTCCTTCTCAGTTAAGCCTTTTGCTCTTGAAAGCATCGTTGTTACAATAAGTACCACATGCTGTAACACTACAGTACTTTTCATCTTGCTCCCTGAGTGCAACAGAGGGAAGAGGAAAGCTGGGTTATAAAATATATAAAATTGCTTTGTTATGTATATGTGTATGTTTGTATACCTAAGAAAAGTGTTTATTCAATCATTTAATATATAACAATAATCAACAGTTATACAAAATATTATGATTTCCTTAAAAATAAGAAACATTATCAGAACATGAACACATTAGTATACCAAACATATCTACAGCTTTTCGAAGTTAATATTAAACTTGAAAAAAAGAAGCTGCACAATAACTACGTAATATTTACACTAAAATGTCGAAAGAAGCTGTTTTGATTTAGTGCCACTGAAGAGCCACGTGGCACACCAGAAGATACACTGAAGCCACGGTGACACTGACCAACATCACCGGGAAACCCACTCTGTAAAAACAAGTGTTAGCAATGTTACAGTCTGTATTTACCGACATGTCAAGCCGTCTCTGACATGGATATTACAGAACTTTCATTTTTCGGTTGTGACCCATAAATGAATTCACTGGTAACCACGGGATGATTCGCAACAAAGTCTTCATTTGTGCTAGATGACCGCTGTAGGTCGCGGTGAAAGGGCCAAGAAGGGCCACCCCTTGTACATTCATTGTGCTATGATGCAAGAATTCCTTCTCGGGAAGCTTAAAATGTATGCGGATTCACAAGAACAATTATAGGGGTAGAACTCAGGCATTTCGAGCAGAAAGGATTTGAAAATATCACCTGGTGTTCAGGTGAAGACTATTGTGACTTGACATCTATAGTATATATCGCGAGTTACTACACAGCAAATAGAAAACTCGTACATCAGTCGCCAAGAGTCTGGGTCTTGTAACAATTCCCTGAATGTATAATTGCACTTATATATCATAAGTGGTCCGGGGAAGTACAAGGGGAAACGGAAATGCAGAAATCAGGTGCTCATTTTAAACCATCTCAAATCAGTCGCACGGGTCTTCGAAACGTTTAGTATGGGAATATTTGAAATATAAATTATACGTTTTTACGTATGTGAATTTCTTCCAAGTACATGTACTCAGTTTTCATAATCGGCCACACTACACCCAATGTACAGTAAATCCACCCAAACTTGTGCTATATTTTGGATATGTGATAACGTAGACATACTGTAGAACCCACACTCCTAAATTTCATGATGAATTGGGTGTACTGCCATGTAATAATGTGAACTCGGGAACTGCACTTCACCAGCATGCTATTCTGAATATCTTAAAAAATATACGAATAAATTTTATTTCCAATGTTATGCATTAGGAAATTACTACACAGCGTTATTTTATAGAACTATGGGCTTGTATTTTTGTATCTAAATTCATGAAGGTATCGAGTTCATATTCCTAGGAACCTTCGAGAAACAGACCCTCTGCCTGGACATAAGTTTATGGACATTCCTCTCGCTATCAAGTTCAAAGCTGACCGACCATAAGCTCTTTACTCACTTGAAGAATTCCATGAAAGTGAACCTGTATCCGTGCTGCTCGGCCACCCCAGCACACACGACGTTTGCTGACGCACCAATGAGTGTCCCGTTACCTGCAGAAGAAGAGAGCATAGTACTTCAACTTCACGCACGACAAGTAAGCTGTCGAAACTTCGTTTTGTGTGCCTGTTAATTAGTCCAAAAAGTAAAGACAGCAACAACACGTCATGACACCTAGCTCCTGTCTATTGACACTTCTATAACACAGAAGGTCCGTTAAGTATAACTTTACCTTTATTCATGACATAATTGGTAAGATACATAGCCTCTGTCTTAAGGCCTGGCCTTTCTCAACAGAATATTCTGTGGATTTAGTCGATACAGTAGCTGAGATATTGAGTGTGATGTGTGTTATGTGTTACAGTTCACACCTCAGTGTTTAGTGTCCATGTGTATGGATACCGTGCTGAGTCCCTTGTCAACTATGTGACGTGTAATAAGGTTGCAGATGGTGAATATGGCCTACAGATTTCGAAGTTTCGGCGTCTCCCAGACTACATAGCGTCGCGTCCTAGAACATGGGACTCTCTGTAGCCACCGCTGTGAGAATCTCAAATCCAGCACGAGTGAGATAAGTTTCCATGGAAACCAACAAAGCAACAAAGATTTCGCTGTTTAGACTATTGCTATATTATGCAGATATCTAACGCTTGTCTCCACTTATCAGTATTTCGAGGGTCTCACCTCCAAGACACGCTCCGAAGGCCAGTGCCCACACTAGGGGCTGCAGGGGCAGGTCGAGCTCTTGGTTGAGGTTAGAAACAATTCGGACCATCATGGTAGTAAGCGGGATGTTGTCGACAAAGGCGGAAGCGAGGGCAGAGACCCACAGGATGAGCAGTATGGCGACTGCCAGCCGGCACTCCTCATTGACAGCAAGAACCACGGCCTCCGTCTGCCGTCCGATGCAGTTGATGAGCCCCAGACGAGACAAGGCCTGCCAACAAAACGATACAAAAAGCCACAGGACGTCATCTTCTCAGTTCTTTTTTCCGATATGTGGCCAACTGTAATGGCTGCTTTCCTTATTTTTATCATATAATGGTTTGGGATAAAACAGAATTTTCATCTTCGCTATTTACTATTAGGGTCTTTGCAGTATAGTAATTAATCTACATTTGGATTTCCGGTGAATTGTGTTTGGATTCCCCTTAGGAGCATTTTAACCACAATATCCAGGGCTCATTCATCCTCTTAACCGAGGGGTAAAGGGGCTAAAACGGCCGGGGAGTGAAGCTGTCCACTATCGAGGTTATGAATGTATGTTTTCTCATGTCTCGGTGGCACGGTGCTGAATGGCCTATGGGGATCAAGCAGTGTTCTGCTTCTATACAAAATCGGCAGTATCAGTGGATGCTCACCTCCATAAGAACGAAGAGCGAAGCGAAGAAGAGCAGCGTCCCCCACTCCACGCGAGCCAGCACACCCTCCATTTCCTCGTTGTCCGCCAGGATCAGCAGCAACAATGCTCCATGAAGGGCTGTCCAGCCCAGGGACAGATTCAAGTTGGGTACGGAATGCAGAAAGAAGAGCACGACCACAAAGAGCAGGGAAACCCCTGATTTGGCCAGCAACGCCTTGTTGCGGATGGGGTACTGCAACCAGCAAATTTCATTACCCTAATGCATACTTAAATTACTAATTACACGCATAAATGACAGTGATTACTGTACGTACCACCTGCTGTAACATTAAATAACCTCTTATGTTCATTCAGCAACCGTGTCGGCCATGTTATCTCCTTAGTGTCTTGCAGTCTCCAAGGGCGTATGCCAGGGCCTGTACCTCTATCTCGAAGAGGCACTCAAGTATGTTGCAATTTGTTGGGTACCTGGCCACACGGGTCTGCCTAGGGATGAGACTGCCGATAGCGATAAATCCCTCCTCGGAAACTTAGCATCAGACTGAGTGGTACGTAACCATTGCGTTGCTGTGCTGGGATATGTAAGTAAAAGTAAAGCTATCCCTGCACCAGGCCGTGAAGGCCTATAGGGTTGTGAGACGGTGAGGGTCCCACATTTTCTAGACAATCGGCTTGTACCGGTTCTAACGGTCTCTTCGCCTGCGAATTTCTTATATTTTTCCTTCTACCCTGAAGACGGAGGCGATGTGTTCCTCCGAAACGTCGGTTAACACAACATATACACGGTGCCAAATCCCAGAAGACTGCTTTCTTCAATCGGCTCAAAATGGCGGTAAGTTTGTCAGCCTTACGCGCCGGCCAAACTTTACTCCCGGGAAAATTGTTTTTAATTAATTCCTGGTGGATTTTTTTAATTGACCTAATCCTTCCAGCCGCACTATCTCCCTGGGGTTCACTCAACCTCTAACAGAAATGAGTATCAGGAATTAATTAAATAATTTTCCTGGGGATTAAAGCGCGGCCGACGCGTAAGGCTGACAACCTTACCGCCATCTTTGAGCCGATTGTCTAGATAACGTGGGAACCTCAACGTCTCACAATCCTATGGGCCTTCATGGCCTGGTACAGGGATAACGTTACTTTTTTTTACTCATTTCTGTTAGAGGCTGAGTCAACCCCAGGGCCATAGTGCGGCTGGAAGGATTAGGTCAATTGAAAAAAATTCAGTGACCTCATCGGGGCTTGGAACCGCGACTTTCCGGCTTGTAGCATAGCCCCTCAACCAACTACGCTACCGCGTGCCCCATCCTGGGATATGTACCTTGTATTAAACTAAACTAACTTCCTGTTGCGAATTCCACGGGAAATGTGATATTTCCCATCTAGCGATAGTTTCCACATTATCGCCTTTCCGGTGACCCACTTGAGGGAAATTTTAATATCGTCATTGCAATGATGTGGACATTGAGAACAATGAAATGTCTGTCAAGTAAACACTACATTATGTGCACCATAATAACAGCACAACACATCTGGCAAACTACAATCTTAACCCTCCATTTGAAACTTACCCTTGCACGGAGCTCCTCTAAGTTGGCTTTGTAAGTGTCGACCGCAACACTGAAATAAATAAATAAACTCAATACTCTGATTACTTCATATGTTTCTGAACTTACATAAACGTTAAGTTACAATCCTAAATATAAACTTGGAATGCCAACGCCCAAAGGCGCTTGCGTACTCGCCAGCGGTAGTCCGTCAAGTGGCGCCTCAACTGGCGTTCACTCGAATTTGTTGCAAGTGACACGGGAAGGACGTTGTGCTACTTTTCCATATATGGAGGGATATTTCGCCGAATATACTATATTGAAATATCGCTCCGGATGTAAAAATGTTTCACTATATACTGAACATAATGAAATATAATGAAATAATATTCCGGTCGGTATAACGACTGGTTACTGGCTGGACGACAGAGGAGTCGGAGTTCGGGTCCCGGTAGGCTCAAGAATTTTCTTTTCTCCACGTTGTCCAGGTCGGTTGTGGGGTCCATCCAGACACTTATCCAATGGGCACCGGGGTCTGTTCTCGGGGGTAAAGCGGCCAAGGAGTGAAGCTTACCACTCAGCTCCAGCTAGTGCCGAGGTCAAGAGAATGTGGATCTATACATCCACTCCTACATACGTCTTCATGGCGTAGTGCTTAATTATTTAAGTACAGGGATACTTTTATCTTTTACTTTTACTTAACACGCTGAAAACAAAGCCCAACAAGTGATATGTACATGCAAGTAACTATTAGCCCAGTGAATTTTGCATAATACTCTTAACAAAAAATAAGAAAATATATTAAGAATAATCTTCTGTGCGCTGTTTCAGCCAAGTCCAGACCAGCTGTCAATGCCAGAAACTATTAAAATATTCATTCCTCAGTGACTAAATTAATTATGTTTAGAAATCTCGAGGATGTGTCTTATGTTTTAAAATTCAAGCCAAGAACGGGGATAAGGAATTAGCAACCTTTTAAATTACTGTGGTGAACATACGTACCACCTGCTTTAGCATTCAGAACCTGTGCATTTTTCTTGCAGAGCGTATTTTTGGGCTCCATATAATTTTGAGAATATACCGTGTTTATTTCCATTAATTTTCTAAATTTATTTTAATAGATTATTTTTAAATGAGACGGTATGGTTTCAGTGAGACAGAAACTAATATTTAATACACCATTTTGATCATATTCAGGCCTATGTAAACCCTCTGACATTAACAACCAAAAAATTGCTTGCACCTGCCAGTGACCAGCTTCCTCTTCAGCTCTTGCATGAGACTGCGAACTTTCTTCAACAGCGAGCTTCGAACTGTGTCCTCGTCTTGCGAATACGAAGACAACGAAGCTGCTGCTCTTTGCCAAACTGCTATCTCGTGACGTAGCTCTCGGACGTCCTGTGGCTCCGTGAAGCGCAGCTTGTTCATGTTCCGAAACATGACCCGCATGAACATATAAGTGATGCCCATGACAAACATGACGCCCACGCCCATGTGCAGGGTGAACACGCTGAAGTTAACACCCTGAAACAGTTCACAGCGGCTCTCTACATTGTCCCTTACACGTTGACCCGGCCCCCAAAACTTCAACTTGCCAAACATTCCTCCACAAACCGCACCCACCTACTTAACGTCGCATTAAAACAGACAGGCAATATGAAACGCTGATATTTGTATTAATTGCATAATATTTTATACAATATATCATTTGCAGGCATGCAACCATGAAGAAACGATTAAGAAACTTCGGCTTAGGGGGGGGGGGTGGAGTCCAACTGGGTCCACTCGGCACGGCGACCACTGATTGGCCTATTGTAGCCTGCCCCGGGCAATTATGATGATGAATTTGGTGGAATGAAGACTGGCAAGGGAAACCGAGGTACTCGGAGAAAACCCGCCCAGTGCCACTTTGTCCACCACAAATCCCACTTGACCAGACCCGCGGTGGGAAGCCAGCGACTAACCGCTTGAGCTATGGCGCGACCTGTGAAGAAACTTAGAGAAAATAGTAACGAATAATTTCAGGATTATTCCGCGTCTCGATGTTAATTTTGCACTCGACACGTGACCTTTCCTTAAGCAGTAATCGAAACGCTGGTTCTCGGACTGGCTGAGTCTCAAAAGTTACAAGATTTTCATCAGGAATAAGTTCATTATCATACGTACGGAATCGATCACGTCCTGGTTGGAGGCTATGATGACGTTAGGAGGGTCTCCCACGGGAGTGATGCTGCCTCCGATGTTGGAGTAGATAACTGTCGCCATCAGTACAGGTACCGGGTTCAATTCCATCACCTCACACAGCCTGTTCCAATAACACAGGACAGTTACGTATTACGATAAAAAAATGGTCATGTTTTGTGCACTGACTGGTAAGAATAGTGTCACAAGGTTCACTGAAACCTACAAAGGAGAGTGGTTACTTTATGGACAGCCTGCTTTAATGTTAGACCTACCTACACGTTCAGAATAAACGGTTACAGTTTCACCAAATATCAATGGGCTGCTCTTTCTAATGGAGACGCGGTGTGTTTTGTTCGCGGCAGAAGCTGAATTTTAGAAATATTGTTTACATTAAATTCGCACTTGGGCCGCACCATAGCTCAAGCGGTTAGTCGCTGGCTTCCCACCGCGGCGGTCCGGGTTCGATCCCGGTTCTCTTCAAGTGGGATTCTCCTGAAGGGCTCAGCTCCATGAGTAAGTAAATATAACATTCATATGGACGGACTCCAAAAACCGGAAACTACAGGTGTTATTTAGCGCCCGGTGAGATGAAGTTCTAACTGAACTGGAAGGAATAAAGAAGCAGGAGGGGCTGAGGAAAACGGCATGAATAAAAAATCGGATCTTTCGAGAGCAGGTCTACCTGATGGTAACTGGCGTCATGAGCAGTACAGTCGTCACGTTGTCCAGGAACGTGGACAGTGCAGCAGTGATGAGACACAGGGTGTTCACCAGAGGCCACACTTTTCCGTTTGTTATCTGCAAGCCACAAGAAACCATCCAAAAGCCATTTAATCTCAAATTTGTCACTAGCAGAATGTCCAAAATATTATTATTCATCGTTATGTGGTTACGAACAGGAATAGAAAGCGGAAGAAATAATTGCAACGTGTGTGCAGCTGCTGTGTTCCTGAACGTTATCCATCGTCCCGTTTTATTTAAAACGGGACGTTTCGGAGACTGCATTCGGTCTCCCTGTTTTTGTGGAACCTACTCAATTGGGCCAAATCAACACAGCTAGTCTCCAAATTCGGACCCACTGTGGATGCACGTCGATATTTCACTGTCCACCTTTGCCGAAAAGAGTTTCATAGTGTGGCGTCATCGGGTGCTATATTGAAATGTGCACGAAACTACAGTTGGATATATCACAGTTCGGTGCCCCGTGACTATGAAAACACCAGGTCACAATTAGGGCCCTTAAAATGTGTCTCAAAACAAAAAATGACCATTTTCTAGAAAATACTAGATAATTTTGATTAAAATTCATTACTTCATAGAGACTATGAAGGTAAAGTTGTCCCTATGCTTAATTAATTAAACATTGTTCCACAAAGACATATAGGTTAGGGGAGGTATAGCTCCATTCTTGACCTTGGCGCTAGATGGAGGTGAATGGTTAGCTTCACGTCCTGGCCGCTTTATCCCCAGGGAAACTGCACAGTGTACCCATTAGAATAGGAGACTGGGTGGGCTCCAGGCCGATCTGGATGCTGTGGTGTACTGAACAGGCTATATGTTCAGGAAAAGTACCGGTACAAGCAGTAGGGGTCAAAAAGCTGAACGACGTTTCTCGAAATTGGTCAGCCGAATCTGATTGTTGTTTGGTACTCAGTAATGAAGAATGATCTGCAAAAGAAGAGCCGATTTCGTTTCCAAGGTAACGCGTCGGGTTCCGTTAATCGTGAAGCTCCTTGAATGGAAGAGTGTCTTAAGCGCTTTATACGTGAGACATGAATAATTTATAGCGTTTTCATTTACACAGAGGTGGTGTCTGTCTAGGGCGATTATACTCACTTGTCATGATCACCGCGAACTCTTGGGTTCAACCTGGCTGATTTCTGTGAAACACCAAGTGGCGCTGAAGCAGTTTTCTTTGAATTTCTTTGGTTTCCCCTCAGGTGTGCAATAGCCCTAATTACGCAGCGCACTATCATATCCCTCTTATTTTAGTTAGAGTCTCCATCTCTGATGACACTAACCAGGACACAGAGTAACAATGCTCGTTCTGGAGATCTGCCTGTGATTTACAAAATATTCACGTTTGTAGGTGAAAAAATAAGGAATACGTGTTCATTTATATTTTTAATGTTCGTATCCCGTTGCGTGAGTATATGTAATAACACAAATTCCACTGTCAACTCAACTATAATTTATTAACTTATGTTCCCTTACATGTTTCGACCTTTATATGGTCATCCTCAGGTGTTATGATTTACGCAGTTCCATTATTGAATTGTGAAGCGTATATTCATATTTACATACTTAGTCTTAAAATGACTGCTTTCCATGTACGTTTAAATTCTAACAGCTAGATGTTGATTTAAATACAATATATTTGTATCTAGCAGTTAGAATATAAATGTACACAGAAAGTACTCATTTTAAGCGTATGTATGTAAATACGAATACACGCTTTACAATTCAGTAATGAAAATTTGTGAATCAAACACCTGAAGATGACCCTATAAGGGTAGAAACATGTAGTGCAACATAAGTTAATAAATTATAGTTGAGTTGATGGTAGAATTAGTATTATTAAGTTCTGTTCATCTTTTGCAAATGGTGCAAATTGGCCAGATCTCAAACTCCTAGAGGTTTAGCCTGTTGTAACGAACCTTGTAGGCGTAGACGGCCAAGTAGTCGAAGATGCCGGTCTCAGAGAGAATTGCGACGAGCATCATCATGGAGAAGAGCAGTAGCAGGGTCTCTACGTGGATCCACGAGATCAGTTCTGCCATCGTCGGTCTCTGTAAGGTGACATTACCGTCAGAATATACGTTCAAGTGCAGACACGTGTCTATCTCTCGACGACGAAAATGTTTTATAGATCACACTTCTGAGTTATCAGATGCATAACAATGCCCTGCAGAGCGTCGGCGCCGGCAAGCCAAGCATCTGCTCCGTCTGGATTTTCGGAAAGAAGTTGCAATTCTACGAAATATTAATGGCAAAAATGAAAAATAATTCTTCTATCCCGAATCCTCTAGGGCAATCAGTTAAAATAGTCTTACACCACTTAGACGCGAATTTGTAATCAAGTTCACTGGTTGCGCCTCCTTTTTGAATAAAAAAGAATCCTGACGAATCCTGAGGAAGTGTAATTTATGAGTAGCAAGTAGATAATTATAAACAAAACAAACTTCATGTTTTTTATTCCGCAAGTGAACTATACCGAACGATAGTAGTGACCGTATTGGGACTAAACTGGCTAGATAGAACAGTCGCAGAGTGGGAGGCTCCGAGTGTTAATGTCCCCACTTTACGTGGGACTTCTTTCGGTCGCCTCATTTTAGTATCCATAAATGCAATTTTAGAAACACGATAAGATAGTCGATGTCCTAGCCAAAGTTCGATCTAGGTTCCTCCTGTCAAGAAACGTGGGGGATTCGTCACCATCGTCATGAAAGCCTAGTCCATGGACCTAATGTTCAGACAGTTCAATCAAATTTTGATCACCTAAAATAATTTATGCACAATGAAAGTTACTGCCTCGTTATCTTCCCTCTACCTCTTACCCTCCACCTGTCCCTCAAAGTTCTCCTTCATACAAGGAATATATATTTGTATATTTCTCGTATATACATCGTATAACGATGCCATCTGCAGCTCTGTTTAACTGGAAAGATGTTGAAGAAGGGGTGGATTTGTCAGTTGGGAGTACTATCCCAGTATTAGCATGGAGGAGCTGAGAAAAACCACAGAAACCTTCACTCAGGGCAGCCTGTTTGAAAGTTCTGTCCCTTATACTATTTCAGCAATGCTACTTGACCAGATCATCACAAACCCCACTTTTAATAATCTGGGGCGAACAGAACAAACCCACGAATCCACTGCCATGAATTTTCGTCCTATTTTTCAAAGCTTTGTGTTGTTAACAACCTGTCTGGCCGTTTGCTTGCCTACAGACCACACGGAAATCCCTCGGGAAGGTGGAACTCTTTGCCTCACCTCGTTCATGGCTGCCAGGATAGCCACAGACATGGTGGACGCCAACATGGCGGCCAGGGTTCTATGCGTGATCTGAAATGAAACAGAATCGGGAAGTTTGACGCGAACAGTCTGCGGATAAATAGGCACTTCTCAGCCACCGTAACTATTGTGCTGAAAGTAAGTTTAAAGTACTGGTTACAAAAATTGCTATCTTTTGGATTCTGAGACCGTGTATTAAGGTCGACATTTATCAACGTTTCGGAACTCGATGCCTTCATCTTGTGGGCCGGCGCGGAAAAGAAAGAACCTTCGATGCAAGGGGAGAGGGGTAACGGCGGGGGCCAGTCCCATACACTCCCACTTTGTTGCATCACTGACCGTTACCTCCCGCGTAGCTGCCCTTCCCTCCTGGACATGGCGACAGCAGATTCAAGTGATTACACGGAGTCAAATCCCAGAAGTTCTAGCGCTTCATATTCACCCTATGAGAACCCCAAATCTCACATGAAATATAGGCTAGCGACGTCCTCGTTTTGGCAACAGCTCGACTTCATAAAAATGCCTGCAAGAATAGTCACTAAACTATTTTCTTTTTAGGATTTGAGATTCTCACAGCGGTGATTACGAGCAGTTCTAGCTTCTGGGATATAAAGCTGTGCTACGACGTTTCGCAGGAACATGTCGTCTGCAGCTTTATCATCTAAGAAAAAAAACAAGGAAGAAACCAGCTTGAAGCAGGTAGCAAACAAAGTCTGATTCAAAATGATTTCTTTTCTCACTTATTCTTAGACCATGAAGATGGAAGCGACATGTTCCCGAAACGTCTGACTTTGAACGGACTGATCAACGTTATATCCCAGAAGACAGGACTTGCTGTTTTCTTTTTTATGTATTTTTCTATACAAAGCTCCTGGAGAGAACTAGTAATTACTGTTACTCTTTAAAATTCGTGACGATGCTATATTATTACAGTTTTTGTGTCTCTGGACATATGCACCGCATATACAGCATTTCTGAGACTGGGTTCTGTCTCCGTCTTCAGATGGAACCTATTCAGTTGGGCCCAATCGATGGATCTAGTCCACAGCTCCGGACACCACCATCAACACATGACAGGAAACACAAACCATCTGCGAGTTTAAAGGCACGTCCACATTACTCGTGCTCGTGCGCCAGAAGTTTACTGCTGCCGGAAAATCAGGATCTGGAGCTGACGAAGTGGACGCCCAAACTGGTCTGCATACAAAGCCTTCGCATTTCTCCACAACCGATATCAGCTCCAGATCCTGATTTTTCGGCAGCAGAAAGCTTCTGACGCACGAGCACGAGTAATGTGGACGGGCCTTGAGAAGAACAATCGACACAAATGAGGCCTAGCACCTATGTCCATGCACTATTTCATGGGTATTGCCGTTAAAATCAGAGTATTGTGTGTATGGAGTTTATACAATATCTTTAATTTTGTCTCAACTTTAGCGGATTGTGTTGTGCTCACTGTATAATATCCTAACCTTGTGTTGGTGCTGGTGTCCGGAGATAGGGACTACCCCTGTCGATTGGGCCAACTAAGTAAATTTTTACCTGATGACAGACAGAATCCAGCCACCGAAACATTGTGATTTAAATGAAAACATGACGATGGATATGTCCAAAAACAAAATAATTGCACCATTATTCTTTCTTAGCTGAGAATGAATGTATACAGGGAAAGTGTTGCCTGTAATATGCAGATGCAAAGTGTGCACACCACCGCATGAAAGGAACACAATGCGTCCGTCTCGGGGAAGAACCGCGGTCAGAAATCGGCAATGCAACTCACCTCCAGAACGATGAGGACGTAGAGCCCCAGCAGCACTATGGCAGCGTATACGATGCCGCTGTTAGTGTCGATAGGCGACACATCGAAGGAAACAGCTAATGGGAAACTGGCGTCCATATTTGTCTTCATTTCTGTGCGAAGTATACTGCGAGGAATGAGCCTGCAAACAACAGCGCGTCTGTAAGTCACAGCCTGACGCTGCAGGACACATGGCATGAGCTACTCAAGGAATTCCTACCGTGTTCATAGGAACCTGCCACTTCTCCATATCCTGAGTCAGGTGAATGCAGCCCGCGCACCGTCCCGTTTCGCTGACATCAAAACGTTAGCTCCTCATATACATTTGAGATATCCTACTTGTTTCTTTCCTTTTTATTTCCTTTACAATTTCCGTCCATTTCTTGCTACACGCCCTGCCCATCTCATCCTGCATCATCCTAATCGGATTTGCGAGGGATACCAATTGTGAAGCAACTCATTATGTAATATTTTGGTGTGTCCTGTTACTTCACTTTTAGGCCCAGATATTCTCAGTCCGTTCTTCCCTTCACAGCAAATTTTGCTCCCATAAAGACTGTAGGCAGAGTTACTGTCATATAATTGCTATGGATTACATTTAGATGGCAAACGTGAAGACAAGTAATTCTGAAGCGACTGATAGCAAGCATCTCTGCTCTCTCTTTCATCTGAATATGAGGTATACAAGTTTATGTGAATTCAGCTGTTGGTAACGGACGTGTGGTGGCTTCTGGTATGTTTGCTGTTGACAGTCGTGCGTTGAGGATGTGTAGAGGCACGAGTGTGTGATGTATAAATGGAGGAAGGGGAGGCTTTAAGTCAGGGCCTAGAAACTTCGCTACCCTCACTGGCGTAATATACATGTATATTAAGTTCAAATAAAATCAGTAAAAAGTAAAGTTGTCCTTGTGCTTAACTAATTAACCACTATGCCATAAAGGCTTATGAGGTAGTGGATGTAGAGATCCACATTTTCCTGACCTCGGCACTGGCTGGAGGTGAGTGGTCAGCTTCACGTCCCTGCCACTTTACCCCGGTCGAAGAGCTCAGACCTTACACGGCTGGATTATTATTATTATTATTATTATTATTATTATTATTATTATTATTATTATATGTCCATTACTTGCTTTTGTTAAAATTAGTCGTTTCTTTCAGGAGGTATTTGCTTACTTATAAAGCATGGAAAATTAACTACAAGCATTGTCAGTTTCTTTTTATGATTGATCCTTACGGTGAGATTAACGAACGGGACGCATGCTGCAAGACAAAGGCACACTTACCCGACGTCGAAATCCTTGAAACTGAACACTTTTCTGTTTACGACATCTGGCACGAAATCAAGCAGCTCCTTGGAAACGGTAGGAATCTTCCAGGTCTCACTAATATTCTGCAGACAAAACAGATTGTAGCAAGTGACACGAAACCGTCATGTATTGAAAATGATGTCAGTAAAATTATGAAACCTCCACTGCTCCCACAGCAGGAATATTCACTGACTGGCAATATCTTACATTTAAAACGGGACTAATAAATCTTCAGTTCCCACAGCTGGTAATTTCGTCGGAATTGCCATTTTAAGGGATTGAGCCTAACGGGTTGTTTCGTCTGCCGGGTTAATGTATCTGTATAGACAAGCCCCTTTCCACACTCATGGCATTTGTGTAGGATCCGAGGCTATCATGACGGTGACAATGGAATGTGCTCTTTAGGGGAGACGTGACGCCGTATAATCTGGTAAGTGCTTACCGAGTTAGAGCTAAACACACCTCGAAGACAAAATTCAGAATTTTTAAGGGTGTATTTTTTTTATATCTTTATTAAATAAAATGTCGCGGTGAGTAGCTCAGGTTATAACGTATCTCATGGTGGGAATAATAGTGAATAACAAATTCGAACGCATATGGAATGAAGCGGTCGTGGCCTAATTTGAAATATCATCCTGACTTTTCACGGAGGGACCCAGGATTTTCTTTACAATCCTGACCTGACTGTTGAAGCTCCTGCCAAGGCTCGAAGTCAGCACTTCCCGACTAATGTTCCGAAATGTTATGATGAACAATCGACGCTGTCACAGCCCCATTCTATTTTAATGTCGTCCATTTTTCACTCATAATAATTTCTCTTAAAGTTATGCTTGCGTTACATAACTTCTTCTGGCTTCCTTTCTGCAAGGTCCTCCTCTTGCAACTGTTCTGCGCCTTGAACACGCGAAGTCCAGTCGATGGCCTCTCAATATAAGACAGTCTGGAAGTGGGAAAGACGTGGGAAACTTCAGCCTCTATCACTTCGATACGGAGGTAAACTGTTCACAAGGCGAACCATTTCATTTGCTAGTTGATGTAGTTCATTCAAAATTTCTACAAAGTTACACGGTGCAAGGCGAAGAGGTAAACCGTGCATGGCTTTTGTAGGGTCATATTCAATACAATTCTTCAGACAATATTCTCGAGCGTTTTTTCTACGAGATCGTGTTTTGAGGGCTTTATCTGTAGTGATGTACTATGAACTCCAGAACTACTCGTTGGTGTCATTCCTGGCGTCTTGCCACAGGCAGATTTTGGAAGCGTAAGCGATAAGGAACTGTGCTCGGCCACAGCTAAAACACCCGTTTCCTCTATCAGGAAAAGCCATAGGGCGGACCATGACAGCGTCCGCGACACCGTTTTGCCTCGAATTTTTTTACATTCTCCGTATTCTGTGAAGGATTTGAGGGAGCTCTAAGGTACTCCCCTTCATTTGTTTAGTGTAAAACTTGTGTTGCACTAGCAAATCTACAGCGAAACGTTGCAACTACTTACCATAATGGAGATAATACTATTTTCGTTGAAGGCGGACAGGTTGGCAACTGGCTGAAAACCGGGGGCGACTTCAACAAGCTGAATCCATACAGAGAGATAGTTTGTGGACATATTGGCATAATACGCGGGTAGGAAGGCTCCACGGAGCGCCAGCTCTAACATCCGGTTTGTGGGGTGTTCCCTCAGCCAGTAACCTGACTCTGTTAAGGAGCTTTACATTGCACTGTGCGTCGAAACCCTTGCTTACCTACTAGTTAATCCACAGGTCATTTCATGAAAGCACCCCACGTGAACATCTGCAACCGAAACCTATCCAGAAGCAACTTTCACTCTTTGAAACTTGAAATTAAGCAAAATCACGTTAAAAATTAAGTCACATCTCACAGAAAACACTGTCTTCGTTAAAAGATGCACCCAGCTAGTGCAAAGTAATAGTCACCATTTTGTATGTGAATCTTATGGCACACGAAGATACAGTGTGGGAAATTTTTTGAGTTATTTAATGTTACAGCATGTAGCACATTTAGTTGCAAGATTTAATGTTCACGCATCTTACGTCAGCTCTCCGAAGCAGTCTTCTTGCATACGGGTACAATTACGGACCTGCGACGAAAGAAATTCCACCATAACTTCAGGAGGGATAGCAGTGCGAGTTACTCGTAGCAGAGGAGGACCAGTCGCTACCAAAATTAAAGTATGTGATTTTTGTTCAAGTCTTTCTGTTTCGTTTAGAATTGCTTCTTCTTGTTACTATTCCCACAGCTTGTGCAGCTGAATTGACTTTAAACCCATTAATGAACCAGTTCTGCCCCCTTTTTTATTGCTAGTGGGGTGGGACTAAGTCCCTTGTACTGCGGCCACTTCTGGCCTATTGCACCAGCCCCAGATGATAGGCGAGGTTGATTGTGGAGCAATTGGTGGAATGAAGATTGACAGGGGAAACCGAAGCACTGTTAGAAAACCTGCCCCAGCGCCACTTTGTCCACCACAAATCCCACTTGACCAGACCCGCGGTGGGAAGCCAGCGACTAACCGCTTGAGCTATGGCGCGGTCAGTGTAGAGCGTTACTGCAACGTTAATCCTTTCGGTCTGAGAGGAAAATGTACTTTCCGAAACGTCGGTACCTCACCACTGTAAAAGGATACTTCTGATTTCACCTTCAGGAATTGATATTTGGTGCATCCTGTTCTCTTTCTCCCTTTTCGTTATGAGCACCATCTGAAACATATCAGCAGCTGCTATTAGAGACAGTTGCTAGGAGCATAAGGGCTTTTGAAGTTCCAGGGTGCAGCTGTTGAAACTGTTACCAGTATCACATTTGGTTACACTGCGCTTACGTCACTGTCATCGACTGTTACACATTAAAGCCCAGAGAGTCACAATTAAAATACTGTAAATTCTCACCATAAAATGAAATAGCTCTGCAGAGACATCTACATGTATACAAAGATACTAGACATGTTAGTGAACAATATACGTATATTAAACAGAGTTGCTACCTACAGACCCACTTCTTTGTGTAAAGACGGAAATCAAGGCAAATCAGCGCAATTTTCATGAAACGCGGAGCTATTTCAATATTTCTCATGGAACAAGAAGTCAAGAGAAGTTTAACACAGTATTAATTCTATATACTCGTAGTTCTCACGGAGTAATATTCAATAAAAACGCAGTTTCCACAGAAAAAATAACCAATTCCGTAGGTTCCACTACACATAGATGGCTTCAGCACGGTGTCCACAAATCATAGAGTCAATTCAATAGATTTTCCATGGGATATAGAGCCAATTGAATAGTTTCTACGAAATATAGAACCAGTTCTATATACTGTAACTGATTTGATCAACGCGTTGCCAGGCAACAGCACAGCAAACCCGGTCCTACACACGACAATAGATTAGGACTGTTTCCTCCTTGTCCGCAGGTGACGTCACGCAGCGGTGGGTGGTGGTTACGTGACGTGTTTCCTGTGATGCGTGTCCGTTTCTCGGCTATGTACGTGACAAAATTAGTTCGGTTCAGGGACGAGGCAGTTCTCGGTAGGAGTGAGTCATGGAAGGTTCACTGTTGAAGAAAAGTACAAAAAGTCAACCTGTGAAGATTTAACGTGTGATTTAGTGAGATTTTTATTAGTTTCCGTGTTAGAAATCCGCGAGGACTCGTGCAGATAGACTGAGAAAATTAATGTGGGGTGATTGTAAATTTTGTAAATCATCAATCGTGTTTATTATTATTTGTAGTTACGACCTGTAAGTATCCAAGAAATTCAATTACCAATCCAAACTTTCGTCGTAGTCACTGTGACACGTGACAACACCTTCCACGGGCCGTGGAGCCAATTCAATACAGTTTTTACTAAACACAAAACCAACTTTATAGTTCCCACGAAACTTAGAGCCAATTCAATATTTTCCATGGAACACCGAAAATTCAACATACTTTAACGGAAAATATCACTAATTCAGTTATTTCTACGGATGGCAGAGCCAATTGGACACAATTTCCACAGACAAGAGACCAACTCAGTGAATCCTTACCGTAAACACTAGCCAGACCATGAACAGGGCAAACATCTTAGTGTACCGCAACCAGGGCTTCAGTTTCCGGACACCGGCAGTGGGTATATCCGGGGAAGGGTCCGCTGCATCGTCGTCATCGTCTGCCTCTAGGCTTTTGCCCTTCAACTCTGGTTTCCTGCAACAGTAAGGCCACACGTACGAAGGGCGCTCCATATATAACGCCTCCTATTTCTTTTTGTGTTAATCTGTAACGTCTGAGCTGGATGTTGGTCGTGTCGTACTACGTCTCTGTTTCCAGAAATGTTCAAGATCATGGCGTGTACATCCAGTGGAGTCGCAATTCGTACGAGTTGAGTCCATCACTGGGGACAGAAGGTAAAGATGCATGGATGCATGGATGGGTGGGTGGATGGTTGGGTGGATGGGTGAATGGTTGGGTGGGTGGATGGGTGGGTGAATGGGTGGGTGGATG